AAAAAAAAAAGGTAAAGAAACCACGTGAAGTGTCACAGAACTGCAGGATTGATTGGGTTGGAAAAGACGTTACAAGATCATCGGGTCCAACCTGTGGCCAAACACCACCCTGTCAATCAGACGGTGGCACTGAGTGTCACACCCAGTCTTTGCTTAAACACCTCCAGGGATGGCGACTCCACCACCTCCCGTGGGCAGCCTGTTCCAATGTTTAGTCACCCTTTCTGTGAAGAAATTCTTCCTAATGCCCAACCTAAACCTCCCCTGGCCCAGCCTAGGACTGTGTCTGCTTGTCCTATCCCTGGTTGCCTGGGGGAAAGCACTAACCCCTACCTGGCTACAACCTCTTTTCAGGTGGTGTTGAGAATGAGAAGGTCCCCCCTGACCCTCCTTTTCCCCAGGCTGAGCCCCCCCAGCTCCCTCAGCCACTTCTCGTCAGACTTGTGTTCCAGACCCTTCCCCAGCTCCATTGCCTTTCTCTGGACTTGTTCCAGCACCTCAGTGTCCCACTGTTATTAAGAGGAGTCTTGTATTTTGTAAGAAGAGTTTTGTATTGTAAGGAGTCTTGTATTTTTCGTCTCATCTGAGTGGATAATCCACAGTGGAGACACTGACTTTCCCAAGGCCACAGAGTGTGGTAAAGTGTGGTGCAATGGCTGTTTCCTAAGGGCTCACAGACTTCCCTCTCAACAGCACAGCTGATTTCCACACAGCAATACGTTTCGGAAGCTGAGGTTGCAGATTTTGGGACAGCAAAGGTTGCAAACCCATCAGCATGTGCTCCCAGAGCATGTCCCCTGTTTCAAAGGAGCAGCCAAAAACATCCTCCAGGGATGGTGGAGTTGGGACCCACTGGTTGAATAAAACATCAAACAAAACCAGCAAGTTGCAGGTTTGGAGGTGTTAAATATGCCACGGTGCTTTTGACGAGATACCAACAGGAATCCAAAAGCAGACCTGAGCTGCTGTTTGCTGCTGCTGCTGCTTAAAACACCACCTGCCCTTTCAGCAGCTGGAGACCATCTCTCCCCCATCCCGTGTTGGCCAAGTGATAAACACCAAGTGCAAAAGGTTTCTGGAGCACTTCCAAAGTATATACACTGTATAAATTTATTAATTACACCCCGTTTGCACCCAACTTTTCTCCTGCCTTTACCCCTCCCCATCCATCACTTCCCTGGTGACTTGCTGACAAGGCACCCAGCGTGTCAGAGCAGAGAAAGCAGGCAGCTGGTGCTCCTGCCCTCCCTGCTTGCAATATCCTGACCCCGTGTGGGCCCACAGGTCTCCAATAAAACAGGAATCTGTGAAAAAACAAGAGCAGCACATCCCCAGCCAGCTTCCCAGCTCCCTCCAGCTACTCCTCCACACTACAGACTGGGAATCCCCAAGCTCAGCACTGCCCTGCCTTATGTCCCAGCTGTGTCTTGCCTGTAGTATGATTTCTAGCCAGGTGCTGGTTTCTTTAATACAGTCAGTGACTTTAAAACATGTCAAAAGTGTTTTAAACACTTCAGAAGTGTTCTAAACCTTCCTCCAGAGGTTTCTGCAGATGTCACCACAGGCTGAGCAGCATGAAAAGAGAAGGCTCCTACGTTTGCTCTGCCACGCTCCTTCTGTGGAAAACTAGGAAGGCATTTAGGCACAAACTCTTTTGGTAATTTAGATTCAACAGTTCTATCCCAGGAACGGCCACCATGCTTTGCATCCTTTCAGGAAAGTTCATGGCTGAACTGGACCAGTTAATTTCCCACCCTGCAAAAATGTGAGGTGATCCTGGAGAGAAGGGGTTTGCTGCCAGTGTCCCTCCAAAGGGCTTCTGGAGAGCAATGCAGTGTGAGATGCTATTCACCCAGACATTTGCTGCAACACCCACTCCAAACACTCCTGAGTAAGCCACTGGTCTCACCAGCAAAGATTTTTCACCCTGATGTCAATTCTGGGCCACTCCCACCATTTGAGGTCTTTGGGGCCACACACCTGACAGTTACTTTCAGATTGCTTTTCAACAACTTTGCAGAAATCATCTACTAAAATCATCTGAGTGCTTCTGATTGTATTTTATTCCCCAAAGCAGGATGCAAACAGAACTTCCTTCTAGGGTCCACCATGTTCAGATTTCACCTTCCTTCCCATCTCCACAGCAGGGTGTGATGAGAGCCGAGCAGCTGGAAACACCTCGCTCACTTCACTGTCCATTACAGCTGACAAGCCCCGATGAACTTGAAAGGAGCCTCCTCGATGTGACACCTCCCCTTCTCTCCTCCCCTGCCTGCAGCAATAAATTCAAGCACGTACTCTTTCCGCTCCCACAGGCAGCTGTGGGTCCCTTGGCACAGATGAGGATGGATAAGAGGGCTCGGAGCTCTTCCAGGGAGTCTCATAGAAGACGTAGAGAGTCCCCGGGTACGCAGAGCAAACGAGAGAAGAGGGAGAGCAGCAGAGAAGGCAGCAAAGGAAGGGGAGACACAAAGCAGGAGAAAGCAAAGGAGACCAAGAGCACTGTGGGGACTGATGGCAGGGTGCACACCTCCACGGTGGTGGATGTGGATGAGGTGGTGTCTGAGGAAGAAATGGAGGCAATGGCATTGCTGGACAGCGAGCAGCAAGAGGAAGGTATGACACATAAGAAGGGAAGGGCTTGGGAAAGTGTGGGCTCGTTGATGCTGCGTGGGTCACAGTATGACTCTGCTCTCTGCACGGTGTCATCACAGATGTGGTTATCCTCAGGACAAAATATGGGAGACTCCAGCCAGCCTCCCAGCTCTGTTCTCTTCCTTTTCTCTTCCCCTTCTTCAAGTGGACAGCATTAGCCTTAATGCCAGTTCACAGCCCAAAAGACCTCACTGCAGGGAGGAACTACCCTTAAGGTCCACACTCACAGCTCCCCTTCTGGATAATCTTTAAGAGCAGCTCCTCTCCACGTGTTTGTTAGGCAGATTCCCAGCCCGCCATGATAGAAGGGAGCATCACGAATCTTTTGGCAAGGTGTCTGGGCCTCTTTGGACCCAGCATCACCAGGGCATGGCAGACGTGTATTACAGGAGCCAGCATCACTTGTGCACTCCCATGCCAGCAACTCTGCTGCCCTGGAGTGACACAAAGGTTCAGGTGTGCTCCTGACTCTCTGACAACTAGTTCTGCACAAACACGTCTTTCTGCCTCAGTTACAGGAATCACAGCTAGTGAGTGGTGCTGTGGAGCTCTAGTGATCGTGCAGGTTCTTGGGATCTGAACCTCTCTCAGGACCTGGTGGTTCTGCAGAGACCTCCAAAGGCAGAGGGGCAGGGATGGAAGGGCTAGAAGGGATTCAAAGTGGGAGGGATGCCAGCTTCACTGCTGGAAATCATGGTCCACTCTCTGGCTTTTAGTATATCCAGGAGTAATATGTTGATTTTCATGCCATACCTGCTCAATTTTACTTCAGACAGGAGCACAACAAAGGGCAGCCAAAGCAAGATGATCCACACTCCCTTTGGGGAGATGTAGCAGGTAGTATTCATCTGGGGCTGATCACCCCAGTCAGCCCCCAGCACCTTGGTGTGTCTGCTGTAGGGCACAGGGAGAGTTCAGTGGCACCAGTGGCTTTATCCTGCTGCATTAGGGAGAGGAGATGCAACTGAAATCCTATTCCAAAGCAACATGAAATGCCCTGATAGGGAAAGGCAGTTCAGGCTGTGCATGTTGAAAGCTCTCTCTTATTTACAGTCTTTACTTTTAGGTCATCTTTCCAGATTAGTTTCAGGAATCCCAGCTCACCCAAGTTGCCCATTCCAAGCCTTTCAACACTGCTTGGTAGCCCCAATTCTTCAAGAGAAAAGCTGCCCTCTAGTCAAGCAACTATGGAGAAGCATGGCTCAGTTTTTGTCGGTAAAGTGGAGACAAAATCTGCCCCTCCATCCTTCACAGCTCCTGGCCACCTGGACCAGGCAGTGTTCCTTAACTCACCTCCAGAGAGTGACAAGTGATTCACATCCACCAAGTCCAGGCAAAGGGCAACACTGAAGCTTGTGTGTGCAGGCACTTGTCAGGCTATCAGTATTTTGGGAGCAGTCCTCTCCTAACACAGTCATGTTGGATTTCTCCCTAGGTGTAAAGTCTCCAGGTCTGGGCATCTGTGAGTGGCTTCTGACCATCCTGTCTTTCCTGTTCATCATAATGACCTTCCCCATTTCTGTCTGGTTCTGCATGAAGGTGAGAATAGCCATGGGGCCTCTCTCAGTATCTGGTGTCTGATGTGGATGTCACACACTGATTCAGCATGTGTTGGACATGAGCATAAAGCTTTTTTGGTCTAAGGCCCTATTTACACCTCTTCAACTCATTATTAATTTTGATTTATCTTTTATCACATGTTGCTACAGCACAGGGCTGCACAGGGGTCCAAACACTGCCTATCAAGTAATCCTGCTGCAATATCAGCAGACAGGGGCTAAAGTTTCTCTTTTTTAAAACAAATTGAAAGTCTATTCACTTTCAAATATAATCCTCAGCCTTCTCAGGCCAGAGAGGGCTGCACTGCAACCAACAGCTGGGTAAATGGGTTTTGAATTAAAAATGTCAAGAGAGATTGATCTCAGAGCTAATAGCAGATTTTCCCTCTTCCTCTAATTTTTGTCAGATTTATATACATATATATATAATATATATAAATATATATATACATATATATAAATATATAAATATAAGGGACTCAGTGACAGGTGATACCACTAGTTCATACCTGCTGAAATCCTCCCTTGCAGGGCTTTTCCAGAACAGACTTCCTCCCATGCCTCTGAAGCTGCTTTTCCCAGTCCTGCTTGTTCCTCTCCAGCCTCCCTTTTGTTTCCCTCTGCAGGTAGTGCGGGAGTATGAGAGAGCCATTGTTTTCAGACTTGGGCATCTCCTTCCTGGCAGAGCCAAAGGACCTGGTAAGGTGTTTACTCGGCTCCCCTCAGCCATGTTGCTCCTCTTTTTCATGCTCTACCAAAGCTCACGTGCTGGTGCCCTCCAAGCAGACATGGCCAGACAGGAGATGGGATGTTTTTGTTCCCTTCCTCTTAAGGGCTTTTCCCCATCACAGAAGCAGCCTCAGAATTTGAGCCCATATATTGCTGTTCCTTTGTAGTTCTGCATGCCAAACCCTCCCGTTTTCCAGAGTATGAGAGGCAATTTCTGTGGTTCTGATGGTCATCAGCTGCCTTTCTCTTCCTCCCACAGGCCTTTTCTTTTTTCTTCCCTGTCTGGACACGTACCACAAGATAGACCTCCGCCTCAAAACCCTAGAGATCCCCTTCCATCAGGTATGGCTGACACCCCCCTCTATATTAATTTTGGTATCTCTTTAACGTTAGATCTTTTGCTTCCAACCTCCATCCTTGCAAAGAAAAGTTCAAAAAAACCATCACAAAATAACCTCTGAGATCCAGAGTATATACAGTTTGCCCAAGATCAGTCAGTATCAGAGGTGGAAGCTACAATGACTTAACCATCCAGTTAGTCCTCATCACACTCTCAGTTGTGTGCTTTCCTGTGCTACCTTAGAACTGCCAGAACCAGCTCCATTTCCTCCAATGTCGTCCTCTTAGGTGGTGACCAAAGACATGGTTACTTTGGAGATAGATGCTGTCTGCTACTACCGGTTGGAGAATGCCTCTCTTCTCCTCACCACCCTGACCAGCATCTCCAGTGCCATCCAGCTGCTGGTGCAGACCACCACGAAGCGCCTCCTGGCACATCAAGCCTTCTCTGAGCTTCTGCTGGAGAGGAAAAACATTAGCCAGGAGATCAAGGTGCTTCCATGGGGAGGGGGACAGCAGAGCTAGGGGTGAATTGAGACTCTGTGATCAGAGAATTGAGCTCGTTCAGGTGGTCAGTCCCTCAGAGTCACGGACACTGCTTTGAGGAAGGATTCCAGACTTGGAATCACTGTGGACTCCAGTTAAATCATCCCAAACTCCCAGGGTAAACACAAATTGGAAGTGAGGACAGTAATTTAATTTCTGTCTTGCACAATAGCATACAAAACCTGATAAATCTGCCTCACAGTCCTGCAATTAATGTCCCTGCCTTGTCTTACTCCCTGTAAGGAGTCTAGGCCAGGGCTGCTGTTCTCCCCATGCTCTAAAAATATTCCTCTTCACAGGTGGCTTTGGATGCAGTCACGGGCTGCTGGGGGATCAAAGTGGAGAGAGTAGAAATGTAGGTAGGAAATGCTGGTAGAAGGGAATTCCCTGGCCCTTTGCAAGAACCCATCCTACTCGCTGCTGCTTGCTTCTCTTCCTGCTTTGCCTCTGTCTCTCTCCCTGCAGCTATTCTGCAGAAGGTAGAGCCTCGCCTCTCACCTTCCTATTTTCCCTGCTCCTTTCAGCCTCATGTAAAACTTCCACATGTTAGACTGTTCTTGCTCCTGCACTGACAGTCGGGGCAGGATCCTTAGCTGGGATCTCATCACCATTTCAGTGCTGCTGCAGGCAGAGTTTGCACCCAGTTCTGGTAGCCCACGAGGTGCAGGAGGCACTGAACCCTCCATGTCCCAGTCTAGATCAAAGGCCCCAGGGTCTTTTAGAGGGATGGGCTCATCACTCAGAAGTCTGTGCACAAAGGTGGGACTCAATCATCGTGTACAGGGACATGGAAGAGAGAGCCAAGCAGTGAATGAATAAATCTGTGACCAGAACATTCCTGTGCCTGTCTTGAGAGCAGTCTCCCAGTGGAGTCTCTGCTGTCTCACAGAGTGAGCTTAAACTTTGAGCCTCAGAGGTACAGAGAGATGTCTCTGCTGCCTAGTGATCATGCAGTCCTGGTCACTGCAAAACCAGGCTCAAAGAGAAGGATGGGAATGGAGGTACAAGGCTGAAGTCAGGCACACAAAGAGGAACAGCCAGGGAGCAAAGAATGTAAAAGAATACTCTGCAGAGACTGACTGATGAGCCCATTCCAAGCTTCAGATTGACCATCCAGTGCTGCCAGGAGAGCCAAGAGCCCAGCTAATCCCTCTCCTTTCCTGCCACAGCAACAACGTGCAGCTGCCTGCTGAGCTCCGGCAGTCCCTGGCTGTGGAAGCAGAGGCCCAGAGACAGGCCAAAGTGCGGGTATGCCAACTCTGAATACTTCTCATCTCCTTCCAAAGCACTCCTCCTACCTTTCCCAGCCCTGATCTGAGGGCCCTGGGACATGCCACACAAGCACATGGCTCTGGGAAGATATGTTTTCTTTAATTCCTGTTCAAGAGCTGGGTCTAGCAAGGGGAGCCCAAGTGTGACCTCTGATGGGCCCAGTAAAAACACATTAGGCACGAGCTCCTAAACTTTTGGCAGCATCAAGAGGTCTAGTACATGCTGTGATCTTCAAAGAGCAGGAAAGTTATAATCACACTGGCCCAGGGAATTTCACTGTGGCAACCTCCCTCTGTAACAGTCTGTGCCACCTCACTCCCGGTGGTCACAGAACTCCCTCACTCCCCTCACTCACAGAAACCTCCTTTCTTCCCCTGCTCGGCAGGTGATCGCTGCAGAGGGGGAAAAGGCAGCTTCCGAGTCCCTGCGGATGGCAGCTGAGATCCTGTCCAGTGCCCCTGCTGCTGCTCAGCTCCGTTACCTCCATGCACTGCACTCCCTCACTGCAGAGAAACCCGCTGCTTTCATCTTGCCCTTCCCTCTGGATGCCATGAACCTGGGCTCTCCAGCTGCCCACAGCCCTGCAGCTGTGAGCAGCCTCCTCCCAGACACCACAAAGCTCCCAGAAAGCCTGAAAGACAAGAAGGACTCCCCCATGCTTTGAGAGCTGTCCCAGAAATGGCTCCCACGCTGCTCCTGGTCAATCCTGCTCAGAGAGGAGCAAGAGGGCTGGCTTATTGGCAGCCCACCATCAGGTCCTGGTCTGGAGGCAGGAGGGGAGGCAGCCCAGACCTGCAATATAAAGTGGATTGTACGTGGAAAAAGCCTCTACTTGTCTTGGAAAGTTAAAAGTAAGGAGCAGGCCTGGCAGGTGTGTGAGCAGGGGGTCAGGGGAACAGGGGGTGTCATCCCTTCCCCATCACAGGGCCAGATGCATCTTGACACCTTAGAGCCTGGCCCCCAGAGTCTGATCCATTTTGTCCCATCACCTTGGCAGGAGGGACAGAAATACATGCTATGTACTTAAATGCCCCCCGCCCCCGAGCCAAACAGCTGGGTGGGTGGGAGTGGGAGCCTGGAAATCCATGGGGGAACAGGAAGGGGCTCAGCACTCAGGCAGGATGGTGGGTGCCTCCAGCCTTGTTGTCCTGCGAGGAGGGAACAAGCTGGGAACGAGCTGGGTCTGTGGTGCTGTCCTGGATTTAGGATTTCGGTCACCACTCACACGCAAATACATCCACACACGAGCAAACAAGATGTTTAGCCCTAACTTTAAAGCAGGAGAAAAAGTAAAAGGAGGAAAGCCTTTGAGGCTGGTGATTCCCTGCCCGGCACATCCGCTGTGCAGAGGAAAGGCAGGCTGTGCTGCTGCTGGCTTCCACAGGGTGGTGAGGCAGGACAACGTCTGAGCTCGCGGGCACCTAAAAACGTTAAGGTGGCCCGATTAACCAACGCCCACTGAGCTGACAAGGGGGAATCCGGCACCACTGGGAAGAGCCAGCTGAGAGCCTTGGGAACTGCAACACTTTTGCCTGCTGCAGCTGCCTGAGAGACACAGGAACAGAGAAGGGACGGAGTTCTCAATACTCCTAGAAGCCTCAAAAGTCTGATATATCTTTCCTGACTAAAGCCGTTAGAAATGACCAGGGACCTACAGACATTGCAGTCCTTCCTCTTGGCAAAGATATAGAGCACTGTCAATGGTTATTTCTCATGCTGCTGGAAAAGGCCCCTCTTTCCCAGCCTCGGGCAAAAGGGTATAATACTACACAGAGTGAGCTGCAGCTGATCCTTTCTCTGAACACTTCTCTGGCTGCTTTTCTAACTCCATGTAAAATGATCCATCCAGACCAAGATTCTTAGCACATCAAAGACCAACAGCTTTACAGATAATGTCTCAAAGGAACAACACTTAGCCCGAGAACAGTGTCAAGCCACACGCAGTACTTTGTCAGGGCACACGGATTACCCTGTTGGCACTTGTATCTGCAGAAGCCAGGCACAGCTTTTTTCAAACATTTAACTTTTCTGCAGTTACAGGAAGGCAAATTATAGCTAAGGGCATCCTCAGTTCCAAAAAGCGTGTCTTGTTCCAGCAGGATCTTCTCTCTTTTACATACACAGAGCCGGCAGAACTTGTCATTTTACCTTCAGGAGATATGATGTTCAAAAAACCTGCAGAACATCATTTAAAAATGTAGTTAAGGGTTATTGATATGTTTCCAAAAGAGAATTTACTCTGAGGGAGTTGGCAAGGATTGTCTGAGCTGATGTAATTCCTGACAGTTTCACTGCCTGCTCTTCCAAGCTGAGAATGGGTCAAATTGCAGAGTCATCCCGATTTTTGTGCATTTTCTTCCTAACCAGTCAGGCAGCTGGTATTTGGATCATCTGAAATCCAGAAGATGAAGGAGGTACTCATTATCAGATAGACAACCAGGCTGTGCTGGCACTGAGGAAAAAAACCTTGAGAGGAGAGGGAAGAGGTGCAAACAACTTACTTGCATGATCCCAAAGGGATGAGGCAGAAGGAGATAAAGCAGCAAGAAGTGATTGATGAGCACAAACAGAAGGGGCACAGGCAAGAGAGATGTGGGGAGGAGAAAGCTGAGGTAGCAGTGGTATTACAGGGATGACAAGCTGCATAGATATTAGAACTGTGGGAAGAGGCAGAGGACAAGCAAGACAGATGTGGAAGTGGTGAAGGCAAGTAGAACAGCATAAATGCTGAGATGGCACAGAGATGCTGGGGTAGTAGGTAAGGGGTGAAACACTACAATGAATGGGCACTAGGACATTACTCAGGCATTGCTGTTCTTCAGTATTTGCTTTTTCTGGATCTCTTGGGCTGGCCAGAGGTAGCAGCTTTGGGACTTGGGCAGGCCTCGACTTCTGAGACACTTTCTTGGAAACATCTTTCTGAAAGAGAAACAAAACAACAAACCAAAGCCATTACAAATACCACAGAGTTAAAATGTGCCCAAGATATCACATCTTTAACAAAAAAATTGGCCTCTCCTCCCACTTTGATGTCAAAGAGACAGGATATGCTAGAGGAATAAGGGAAGGAATTTTAATTCCCATTTTTTCTCCATATTTTATATCTCGTGGATCTAGCTGAGAAAGGACACAAGGAAATACTTTCACCCACAACAAACTTTTGACCCGAGGAACTCACTGCCACATGGTATGGGCAAGATCAGTGGGTCAGCAGTGTTCAAATACCTCCTGGAGGGAGCAAGAGTGTCCTGTGGTATAAACACAAAAGGCCTGTGGCCTCTGAGAGTGAAGGGACCTGGAACATCCTTTCTTTTCTACTCCAAAATCAGTGATCCTAAACAGATCTTCTTGGCTGTAACAGGGAAAACTCACCTACAAGGCAGATGCCACCAGTTACATGATCTTCTAGACACAGACCCTGTGTTGCATATCAAAATCAAACAAAATTAGTTTCTCTCAAAAGCAGACCACATTCAGCAGTTCTTTCTGCCCTGATCTAGAATCATGTTAAAAGCCTCCTGGCTTGACCTCTGACAAAGAGTCAAGACAAAACCCTGGGACATGCCCAGGAGGGGAGGGTTCTGCACTAAACAGGAGGTGAATGAGGTGCCCTCAAGGAGTGCTTCACTCTCTGAGTCTGTGACAGGGTTCAGAATATTGATTCTCCTGACCTTGCCTTTCTTTGCTTCTGGGATGACTTTCCCATCTTTCTCCAGCTCACACTCTAGCTCTTTGATTCTCTGCAGAGCTTCTTCCAGCTTCTCTTCAAGACCTTCAGATCTTTCCTCTGCATTCTGAGCACGGATCTCTGTTTTTCTGAAACATAGAAGCAAAGTTAATGCTAAAACCTGAAATCTAAGGAGCTGCTGGTAGGATACCCAAAGGAAAGATTTAGAGAGCTGAGGTGTCCAGTGGGACTGACTGACTCTACAAAACATGTTTATGGTTTCAAAGAAGGGCATTTGTTAAAAGATCTACAAAGGATTTCATGGCTCATCTATGTAAACCCTGCAAATTTAATTAATTTTAAAATTCAGTGTTTGCTAGCAAAGGGTGAGATGCTGATCTTCATTGTGTGAGGATAAGCACAGTGCACAGTCAATTCTATTAGCAAGGCTAATGAGGTGGGTTTTCCCTGGATAATGCAAGCTCACAGGCAAAACAAGTGTGAGGGAATGCAATTCAGAATGGCCAAGCCATACTGCTTAGGCATGGAAGAAGTCATAACCAAACACAAACCTTGGTGTGATTCTGCATGGAGACACTTGGGTATACCCTCATTGTGTTCCCCACACTGAGGCACAACCTTGTGTGGCTGTTCCTACCACACTCCAGGGGACTGGCAGGCCCTGGAAGAGCTCAGCTGCATTCACACAGCACCCTGCAAGTGCTAACAGGACCTGAAAAATTTTAGCTCCTGCAGAAAACTATCATGAGTACCTCTCAAATGGCCCAAGACATTCAGAATGAAAGGAAACCCGAAATAAGGCCATCAGATATTGGATGAAGCAGAACCTTACCACAGAGCAGAACCAGCACCTGCCTGAAATGAAACCCTGCCCTGTTTTTACCGTTTTTATATCCATATTCATTACAAACACATCTTTTCCTACTATGTATCCATCCTTCTCCCGGTTCTTATTTAGGATCATGTGCTGCTGATCAGCCACATGGTGCATTCTCATGTCCAGAATTCGGCAACAAACCAGAAATCACACACCACACCATCTAGAACCCTGGGAGAAAGAAATAAACCCACAGAGAGCCAGCAGGCACAACAGCTCTCTGAACAGGAAATATCAGTGTTATTCCAGAGAAAATGCTTGCTAAAAGTGAAACAAAATTGTGTTAATGCACTGTACAGGAGGCATTACAGCTATTTTTAGGAGTTCTCCTCTGCTCTTTTGGCTGGGAGACAAAAGCCACAACTTAACTCAAACAGGAAAGTGTCGAAAGAGAAACAAGCATTCCTCATAACTGCACTCCAGCCAGAAGGAAATTAAAGACTGAATACTAGATAGAGTGCCCTTATCCCTAACAGTTGCAGACTTGCACTTAATTTTTTTCTTGAGAACCTCATTATTCATGGACAGAACCCACTGCTGAATCATCTGAAAGAATTCTCTAGGTACCACCCTGAAAAAAACCCAAATCCAGAAACAAAGTGACCTCTAGTGCATCAGCCTCAGGGATCTCCTGTCTCAAAGATACCTTTTGCTCCCCAGCTAAACAAACTCAGCATGTCTAAGTACACCATATACTGGAAACCTGACACAGGCTTTTTTTGCTAAGGCAGTAGTTGTGGGCAGACCTGGCATTTGCAAGGAATCTCACACAGACACGTTATGCACGTGCTCTGCAAGTGATTCATCTCTGGATGACATTCACCAAAAACAATGGAGCACCATGAAGAGGAATATACCCCCAGAAATCTGACTGTAAATGAATCACTCATTTTGGGGTTTTTTCAAATGTCAAGATTTCCAAAGCAGTTGGCAGTTCTGAGGGAGATGGGGATGTTCCAGGACTGATATTGAAGCCACCAACTGTTTCCACAGGTATTGCCAAATCACAGCAGATGAAAGGCAGTCACCAATCATTTTAATGCTTCAGTTGATCATGTTTATCCCACTTTCAGTTTTCTGTGCCAGGGACTCCACCAAAGGACATTTCTCTTTTCTCACAAGTGTAGTTTCCTGTGCAAGGCCAGCCCAGGTCCAATTAACACCTCTGTCCTTAAAGGAAATGTGGTTTATCATCACTCTCAGCTTCATGCAACTGGCTGGAGCCTATAAAGCTCATCGCTGCATCCAC